GTGACCAGAGGGGCGTACCACCACAGACTGACCAGTGGGGCTTACAACCACAGACTGACCAGTAGGGCGACCACCACAGAATGACCAGTGACCTGTGGGGCGTACCACTACAGACTGACCACTGGAGCGTACCCCCACAGACTGACCAGTGACCACTGGGGCGTACCACTACAGACTGACCAGTGACCAGAGGGGCGTACCACAACAGACTGACCAGTGACCAGTAGGGACGTACCACTACAGACTGACCAGTGACCAGTAGGGCGACCACCACAGACTGACCAGTGACCAGAGGGGCGTACCACCACAGACTGACCAGTGACCAGTAGGGCGACCACCACAGACTGACCAGTAGGGCGACCACCACAGACTGACCAGTGGGGCGTACCACAACAGACTGACCAGTGGGGCGTACCACAACAGACTGACCAGTGACCAGAGGGGCGTACCACCACAGACTGACCAGTTGGGCGTACTACCACAGACTGACCAGTGACCAGTGGGGCGTACCACCACAGTGAGTGAGTGAGTGAGTGATTATAGTTTTTACGCTGCTTTTAGCAACATTTCAGCAATATCACTGCGGAGACACCAGAAATGGTCTTCACACATTGTACCCATGTGGAGAATCGAAACCGGGTCTTCGGTGTGACGAGCAAATGCTTTAACCACGAGGCTACCCCACTGACCCTGTACCACCACAGACTGACTTGTGGGGTGTCCTTAAACAGACTGACCCATACACTAGATCTCCAGCACCCTGGGGCGTACCACTACAGACTGTCTTGTGGGGTGTCCTTAAACAGACTGACCCATACACTAGATCTCCAGCACCCTGGGGCGTACCACTACAGACTGACCAGTGGGTCGTACCACCACAGACTGACTTGTAGGGTGTCCTTAAACAGACTGACCCATACACTAGATCTCCAGCACCCTGGGGCGTACCACTACAGACTGACCAGTGGGGCGTACCACCACAGACTGACTTGTAGGGTGTCCTTAAACAGACTGACCCATACACTAGATCTCCAGCACCCTGGGGCGTACCACTACAGACTGACCAGTGGGGCGTACCACCACAGACTGACTTGTGGGGTGTCCTTAAACAGACTGACCCATACACTAGATCTCCAGCACCCTGGGGCGTACCACTACAGACTGACCAGTGGGGCGTACCACCACAGACTGACTTGTGGGGTGTCCTTAAACAGACTGACCCATACACTAGATCTCCAGCACCCTGGGGCGTACCACTACAGACTGACCAGTGGGGCGTACCACCACAGACTGACTTGTGGGGTGTCCTTAAACAGACTGACCCATACACTAGATCTCCAGCACCCTGGGGCGTACCACTACAGACTGACCAGTGGGGCGTACCACCACAGACTGACTTGTGGGGTGTCCTTAAACAGACTGACCCATACACTAGATCTCCAGCACCCTGGGGCGTACCACTACAGACTGACCAGTGGGGCGTACCACCACAGACTGACTTGTGGGGTGTCCTTAAACAGACTGACCCATACACTAGATCTCCAGCACCCTGGGGCGTACCACTACAGACTGACCAGTGGGGCGTACCACCACAGACTGACTTGTGGGGTGTCCTTAAACAGACTGACCCATACACTAGATCTCCAGCACCCTGGGGCGTACCACTACAGACTGACCAGTGGGGCGTACCACCACAGACTGACTTGTAGGGTGTCCTTAAACAGACTGACCCATACACTAGATCTCCAGCACCCTGGGGCGTACCACTACAGACTGACCAGTGGGGCGTACCACCACAGACTGACTTGTGGGGTGTCCTTAAACAGACTGACCCATACACTAGATCTCCAGCACCCTGGGGCGTACCACTACAGACTGACCAGTGGGGCGTACCACCACAGACTGACTTGTGGGGTGTCCTTAAACAGACTGACCCATACACTAGATCTCCAGCACCCTGGGGCGTACCACTACAGACTGACCAGTGGGGCGTACCACCACAGACTGACTTGTGGGGTGTCCTTAAACAGACTGACCCATACACTAGATCTCCAGCACCCTGGGGTGTACCACTACAGACTGACTTGTGGGGTGTCCTTAAACAGACTGACTTGTAGGGTGTCCTTAAACAGACTGACCCATACACTAGATCTCCAGCACCCTGGGGTGTACCACTACAGACTGACTTGTGGGGTGTCCTTAAACAGACTGACTTGTAGGGTGTCCTTAAACAGACTGACCCATACACTAGATCTCCAGCACCCTGGGGTGTACCACTACAGACTGACTTGTGGGGTGTCCTTAAACAGACTGACCAGTGGGGTGTCCTTAAACAGACTGACCCATACACTAGATCTCCAGCACCCTGCTGGAACTCTTATGTAGGACAATTCCCCAGCAGTAAAAGTTTATTTTGAGCTTGGAAGTCTACATCATTGCTGTATTACCCACAACATTTACAACAAGAAAGAAGTGAGCATACCCCCATTATCCCCGCTGGTCAACAACAAATAGTAAATAGTTTGTTAATTAATGAAATATTACATATTTCTAACTAATTTTAACTTCAATGTTTTAAAAACTAAGATTGAGTTCAAGTGACAATTGCCCCCACCCCCCCCCCCCCTTCCCCAAATTTCCCATGTTACTGGTGTTCACTGCGAGGAAGTAGATCACCATGAACACCTTTGAATAAAAATTTGATTGAGAAGTTACATAAGAAGAAGTTTCAAAAGGACCAAAAATTGTTGATATAAAAACACATAGAAAATGGAACAATATCATATAAGAAAATCAATAAATTATTAATTTCCATCTAGCCTTAACAGATATGGTAAAGAATTCATAAATTCAAACTATCACAAAGCACAGATACTTATGATGATCTACATGTGTGGAAACAATTTTTGAAAATATTTTAGCTATACAAAACCAGTCATCAAAATTTCTAAATTCCATCATGTTTCCATGAAAACAGCAAAAGACAAAACTTTCAGAATCTTATAAAAGATAAAAAACAATCATAGCGGTTAATGTAGCAAGTTTGCTGAAGCTATGATACATAATATTGTAAACATGGATCGTACAAAAACTCTACCCAAAATTTATGTTTCACCATGATTCCATGGAAACCGCAAAAATAAAAAAATTCAGAATCTACAAACTAGCAAAAGGCACAAGTACTCATTGTGGTAAATGTGTGTAGCAAGTTTGGTGAAGCTAGGGTGCATGGTTAAAAAGATACAGGCCGTACAAAACACCCACCCTAAAAGATTAAGTTTCTAATGTTTCCATGGAAACGGCAAAAATAAAAAAGTTTAGAATCTTCAAACTAGCAAAAGGCACAAGTACTCATTGTGGTTAATGTGTGTAGCAAGTTTGGTGAAGCTAGGGTGCATAGTTAAAAAGATATAGACCGTACAAAACACCCACCCTAAAAGTTTAAGTTACTTAATGTTTCCATGGAAACGGCAAAAAATAAATAGTTCAGAATCTTCAAACTAGCAAAAGGCACAAGTACTCATCGTGGTAAATGTGTGTAGCAAGTTTGGTGAAGCTAGGGTGCATGGTTAAAACGTTATGGGCCGTACAAAAGCTCGGACGGAAGGACGGACGGCTGGACGGACGAATGGAACGCTATATAGCCCCGATTTACTTCGTAAACGGGGGTATAATAAACACAAGACCAATCATAGGCTAGGAATAGTGTTTGTGAATCTTTTTACACAATTAGTTTATTATGAACAGTTGAAAATCTGATGTTACCCATACACTCATACACTCTGAGAACAACATACATTCTCACCAATATTGTCTTTGTACAGGGTTTTTTGATGAGATATGTCTCATGATATTTTAATAACAGTCTGTCCACAATGTGGGGGTTCCAGATTAAGCAGGCTTCACTGTAGCCAGTTGTTTCTCTGTGTTGGAGCCTTTCCCTACTGTTTTTCCAACATTGTCTCTGTCACATCAGCCAACATGCTTTCACCATCCAACATTGTCTCTGTCACCTCAGCCAACACGCTTCCACCATCCAACATTGTCTCTGTCACATCAGCCAACATGCTTCCACCATCCAACATTGTCTCTGTCACATCAGCCAACATGCTTTCACCATCCAACATTGTCTCTGTCACCTCAGCCAACACGCTTCCACCATCCAACATTGTCTCTGTCACATCAGCCAACATGCTTCCACCATCCAACATTGTCTCTGTCACATCAGCCAACATGCTTTCACCATCCAACATTGTCTCTGTCACCTCAGCCAACATGCTTCCACCATCCAACATTGTCTCTGTCACATCAGCCAACACGCTTCCACCATCCAACATTGTCTCTGTCACATCAGCCAACATGCTTTCACCATCCAACATTGTCTCTGTCACCTCAGCCAACATGCTTCCACCATCCAACATTGTCTCTGTCACATCAGCCAACATGCTTCCACCATCCAACATTGTCTCTGTCACATCAGCCAACATGCTTTCACCATCCAACATTGTCTCTGTCACATCAGCCAACATGCTTCCACCATCCAACATTGTCTCTGTCACATCAGCCAACATGCTTCCACCATCCAACATTGTCTCTGTCACATCAGCCAACATGCTTTCACCATCCAACATTGTCTCTGTCACATCAGCCAACATGCTTCCACCATCCAACATTGTCCATTTCACATCAGCCAACATGCTTTCACCATCCAACATTGTCCATTTCACATCAGCCAACATGCTTCCACCATCCAACATTGTCTCTGTCACATCAGCCAACTCGCTTCCACCATCCAACATTGTCCATTTCACATCAGCCAACATGCTTCCACCATCCAACATTGTCTCTGTCACATCAGCCAACATGCTTCCACCATCCAACATTGTCTCTGTCACATCAGCCAACATGCTTCCCCATCCAACATTGTCTCTGTCACATCAGCCAACATGCTTCCACCATCCAACATTGTCTCTGTCACATCAGCCAACATGCTTCCACCATCCAACATTGTCCATTTCACATCAGCCAACATGCTTCCACCATCCAACATTGTCTCTGTCACATCAGCCAACTCGCTTCCCCATCCAGAATTTGGGTTTTGTTCTTATCTTCTTGGAAATTTCCTTGGCTGAGCGACCGATTTGGCGCCGCTCTGTCTGGTGTTCTTGCTGGAGAGTCTCCTTCTTCCTTTGGTGAGCACTCTGGGGAATATAGGATTATATAGCACAGTTGAAAAACAATCAGTTGGTTCTGAGCAAGCTGTGTTTGACTGCATATCTACACAAGAAGGGAGGGGAGGGGAGGGAGCGGCACATTACACACAATACTTTGGTCAAAACTGCTTGTTCCAATGTCACCCGTCTCATAGGGTCATAAGGTCATAGTTCACGATTTGTCAGTTGGTATCAAGCCAAGACTGATCACGTGACTTGGCTTACAATGCAGGTTACTGAGCCTTACCGCCCTCTCATCCATCTTCCAACCATAACCATTTCATTTGTACGTGAGCCTATACTATACTGTTGTAGTATCACATCTCCATTCTAGCAGGATAAATCCCCTGCACCCATTCACCATCATAGCTTTATTTGGAATCCAATTCCAAAGACAGAAAGCTTATACATCACTCCAACCAAATTACAGTCACATGAGAGTGGATGTATGGGAAGATGATGAGAGCTGAAGATGATGAAGGTATGAGTAATATTGTCCAACTGTATTGTACTGTGGACATGGGTCAATGAGCAAACAGACTGTTTGCTATCCAGTCGTATCTACCGGTACTCACCTTCTTGAAGGTGAAGGTCATCTCCTTGTTTCCGATGGAGCCTCCTTCCGATACTGAGATGCTGTCCTCGGCGGCCAAGCGTTCTGACAGACTCATCCTGCAGAGTGTACACACATTAGCATACATTGACAGTTCAAGTCTTAGATCAAAGATCAATCTATATATTCTTACTCGCATTACATGGGCCTCGCATTACATGGGCCTCGCATTATATGGGCCTCACTTACATGGGCCTCGCATTACATGGGCCTCGCATTACATTGGCTTCACTTTACATGGGCTTCACATTGCATGGGCCTCGCATTACATGGGCTCCACATTACATGGGCTTCGCATTACATGGGCTTCACATTACATGGGCTCCACATTACATGGGCTTCACATTACATGGGCCTCGCATTACATGGGCTTCACATTGCATGGGCCTCACATTACATGGGTTTCACATTACATGGGCCTCACATTACATGGGTTTCACATTACATGGGCCTCACATTACATGGGCCTCACATTACATGGGTTTCACATTACATGGGCCTCGCATTACATGGGCCTCACATTACATGGGCCTCGCATTACATGGGCTTCACATTACATGGGCCTCGCATTACATGGGCTTCACATTGCATGGGCCTCACATTACATGGGTTTCACATTACATTGACTTCACTTTACATGGGCCTCGCATTACATGGGTCTCACATTGCATGGGCTTCACATTACATGGGCCTCACATTACATGGGCTTCACATTACATTGGCTTCACATTGCATGGGCCTCACATTACATGGGCCTCGCATTACATGGGCTTCACATTACATGGGCCTCGCATTACATGGGCTTCACATTGCATGGGCCTCACATTACATGGGTTTCACATTACACTGACTTCACTTTACATGGGCTTCACATTGCATGGGTCTCACATTGCATGGGCCTCACATTACATGGGCTCCACATTACATGGGCTTCACATTACACAGGCTTCACACTTCATGGGCTTCACATTACATGGGCTTCACATTACATGGGCCTCACATTACATGGGCTTCACATTGCATGGGCTTCACATTACATGGGCCTCACATTACATGGGTTTCACATTGCATGGGCCTTGCATTACATGGGCTTCACATTGCATGGGCCTCACATTACATGGGTTTCACATTACATTGACTTCACTTTACATGGGCCTCGCATTACATGGGTCTCACATTGCATGGGCTTCACATTACATGGGCCTCACATTACATGGGCTTCACATTACATTGGCTTCACATTGCATGGGCCTCACATTACATGGGCCTCGCATTACATGGGCTTCACATTACATGGGCCTCGCATTACATGGGCTTCACATTGCATGGGCCTCACATTACATGGGTTTCACATTACATTGACTTCACTTTACATGGGCTTCACATTGCATGGGTCTCACATTGCATGGGCCTCACATTACATGGGCTCCACATTACATGGGCTTCACATTACACAGGCTTCACACTTCATGGGCTTCACATTACATGGGCTTCACATTACATGGGCCTCACATTACATGGGCTTCACATTACACAGGCTTCACACTTCATGGGCTTCACATTACATGGGCTCAACATTGCATGGGCTCCACATTACATGGGCTCCACATTACATGGGCTTCACATTCATGGGCTTCACATTACATTGGCTTCAAATTACATGGGCTCCACATTACATGGGCTCCACATTACATGAGCTCCACAATACATGGGCTTCATATTAAATGGGCTTCATATCAAATGGGCTTCACATTACATGGGCTCCACATTACATGGGCTTCATATTAAATGGGCTTCATATTAAATGGGCTTCATATTAAATGGGCTTCACATTACATGGGCTCCACATTCTATTGGCTCCACATTTCATGGGCTCCACATTACATGGGCTCCACATTACATGAGCTCCATATTAAATGGGCTTCATATCAAATGGGCTCCACATTCTATTGGCTCCACATTACATGGGCTCCACATTGCATGGGCTTCACATTTCCAACAATGGGTTTTACACACATGGTCTCTGCCATAAACATTTGTATATGATATGACATGTGGGATTGAAAGTAATTAATGTGAGCCTGTGCTCATCTGGAAACATTGAGAGAAACACACCAACCCCACCTTGCCACATCCTGCAACAATGCAGTCAGTTTACTCACTTCATTTCTTTCCTCTTCTGCTTATTGTGGACAGATTTAATTTCCTCTGCCTCTTTCATCTCGCAGAATTTAGGTTTGATGTGTGCTTCCTGCATCTCCTGGCGTTCTCGTAGTCGCTTCTCGCGCTGCAGCTTGCGATGCTGCGCCTTGACTTCCTGCGTCCATGTGCGCTCATCGTCCGAGCTGCTGCTCTCCTCGTCACTGCCCCGCCCCTCCATCTCCTGCACCCAGGAAGCAGCAGGTGCTTATTTTATCATCCAGGTTGAGTACAGAACATCAGTGACAGAATCTATCCTTTCCAAGTCATTTCAAGCATCCCTCCCCTCAATTCAAGCCCACGCAATATTAATGAATCTATGTTTGTTACAAATGTAGGAATATTCTACTTCATCAGAATCAGTTCATCATCAATTGTGATCTTTTTTCGAAAAAACATGTCAGTCATGGCCAGAAGACAGGAGATAACATACCTTGACCTCCGTGAAGGATTCTGTGACCTCAGTTTTCTTGCTGTGATTACGTTTTGACAGCACAGGGTTGAGAAGTCGGAACTCCTCGCTGGACTGGTCAATGTGGAAGTCAGGGTTGCTGAAGATGGCAGAGAATCGGTTGTCCTCCAGTAGGCTCTCTGTGGGTTGCTAGAACACAGAGGGAAGACATCATCATTAAACCCACCTTACTGGGGAAGACAATTCATTAAACCCACCTTACTAGGGAAGACAATTCATTAAACCCACCTTACTGGGGAAGACAATTCATTAAACCCACGTTACTAGGGAAGACAATTTATTAAACCCACCTTACTGGGGAAGACACATCATTAAACCCACCTTACTAGGGAAGACACATCATTAAACCTGCCTTACTAGGGAAGACATAATTAATCCCACCTTACTAGGGAAGACATTCTTAAACCCACCTTACTGGAGAAGACACATAATTAAACCCACCTTACTGGGAAAGACACATAATTAAATCCACCTTACTAGGGAAGACATCATTAAACCCACCTTACTGGGGAAGACATCATTAAACCCTTCTTACTGTGGATGACACATTAAACCCACCTTACTGGGGAAGACATAATTAATCCCACCCTACTGGGGAAGACATCATTAAACCCACCTTACTGGGGAAGACATCATTAAACCTGCCTTACTAGGGAAGACATAATTAATCCCACCTTACTAGGGAAGACATAATTAATCCCACCTTACTGGGGAAGACATCATTAAACCCTCCTTACTGGGGATGACACATTAAACCCACCTTACTGGGGAAGACATAATTAATCCCACCTTACTAGGGAAGACATTATCAAACCCGCCTTACTGGAGAAGATACATAATTAAACCCACCGTACTGGGGAAGACACATCATTAAACCCGCCTTACTGGGGATGACACATTATACCCACCTTACTGGGGAAGACATCATTAAACCCACCTTACTGGGGAAGACACATAATTAAACCCACCTTACTGGGGAAGACATCATTAAACCCACCTTACTGGGGAAGACATCATTAAACCCGCCCTACTGGGGATGACACATTAAACCACCTTACTGGGGAAGACACATCATTAAGTGAGTGACCTTTTACCAATACTCAGCAATATCATGGCGTGTGACACATTGAACCCATGTCTGGAATCGAACCATGGTCTTCGGTGGGACGAGCGAACGCTTTATCCACTAGGCTACCTGCCCGCCCCACACATAATTAAACCCACCTTACTAGACCAGACAATCCAGTTATTGACCACTTGAGCCTGACCACTCGAGTCACCTCTTACAACAAGCATAGCCCCCTTTTACGGCAAACATGGCTTGCTGAAGACCTATTCGGGTGATACAAGTGAAATAAAGGAGTCACACATGGTATAAAGGGGTACTACAGGTGGTATTTTGGGGGCAACAAGTGGTATAAAGGGGAGACAAGTGGTATGAAGAGGTAGTGGAGGTGGGATAAAGGGATACTACAGGTGGTATAAAGGGGTGGTAAATTGGGGAGACCAGTGGTATAAAGGGGAAACAAGTGGTATAAAGGGGAAACAAGTGGTATAAAAGGAGGAGACAAGTGGTATAAAGGGGTACTACAGGTGGTATAAAAGGGTACTGCAGGTGTTTTAAAGGGAGACAAGTGGTATAAAGGCAACTACAGGTGGTATAAAGGGAGACAACTGGTATAAAGGTGTACTACAGGTGGTATAAAGGGGACACAAGTGGTGTAAAGGCAACTACAGGTGGTATAAAGGGCACTGCAGGTGTTATAAAGGGAGACAACTGGTATAAAGGGGTACTACAGGTGGTATAAAGGGGTACTGCAGGTATTATAAAGGGGAGACAAGTGGTATAAAGGGGTGCTGCAGGTGGTATAAAGGTGTACTACAGGTGGTATAAAGGTGTACTACATGTGGTATAAAGGGGTGCTGCAGGTGGTATAAAGGTGTACTACAGGTGGTATAAAGGGGTACTGCAGGTGTTATAAAGGGGAGACAAGTGGTATAAAGGCAACTACAGGTGGTATAAAGGTGTACTAAAGGTGGTATAAAGGGGCACTGCAGGTGTTATAAAGGGGAGACAAGTGGTATAAAGGGGTGCTGCAGGTGGTATAAAGGTGTACAACAGGTGGTATAAAGGGGTACTGAAGGTGTTATAAAGGGGGGACAAGTGGTATAAAGGGGTGCTGCAGGTGGTATAAAGGTGTACTACAGGTGGTATAAAGGTGTACTACATGTGGTATAAAGGGGTGCTGCAGGTGGTATAAAGGTGTACTACAGGTGGTATAAAGGGGTACTGCAGGTGTTATAAAGGGGAGACAAGTGGTATAAAGGGGTGCTGCAGGTGGTATAAAGGTGTACTACAGGTGGTATAAAGGTGTACTACAGGTGTTATAAAGGGGAGACAAGTGGTATAAAGGGGTGCTGCAGGTGGTATAAAGGTGTACTACAGGTGTTATAAAGGGGAGACAAGTGGTATAAAGGGGTGCTGCAGGTGGTATAAAGGTGTACTACATGTGGTATAAAGGGGTACTGCAGGTGGTATAAAGGGGTACTGCAAGTGGTATAAAGGGAGACAACTGGTATAAAGGGGTGCTGCAGGTGGTATAAAGGGGTACTACAGGTGGTATAAAGGGGTACTACAGGTGGTATAAAGAGACACAGGTGGTATCAATGGGTGCTACAGCTGGTATAAAGGGGTGTCATATGTTGTATAAAGGGGGGATACATGTGGTATAAAGGGGTACAGGCGGACCCACCTTCTTCTTCTTCCTCTTGTCCAGTGCAGCCTCCTCCTGTTCAGCCATCAGCTTCTCGGCCAAGTCACGGTTCACCTTCGGCAGCTTCTGTGAAACAACATCAACACAGTGTGACAGCTGGAGATTTGACCGGGAGTGAGTCAAACTAATTTATTAGCAGCATTTCCGTGATATTCCAGTGCCGAACACTGACCCTATATGTTGGCAACTGGACATATTGTGTTACATGATGCCCCCACTCAAAACAGCAGCATGTCATGTCATATCATATCATAGTGAGTGATGGCAGGTGACACTTGTCTCACTTGCACGGCCTTTTATTCAATGCAGCCATTTTCCATCTGGATAACTGCTGTAAAAAGATATTCTGTTGCAAAAATGCAAATCGATGTGGAAATGTTGCACCTCTGCATGAACTAGACAAGAGCAGCACGAATTGGACAGGAGCAGCACGAACTAGACAGGAGCAGCATGAACTAGACAGGAGCAGCACGAACTAGACAGGAGCAGCATGAACTAGACAGGAGCAGCATGAACTAGACAGGAGCAGCACGAACTGAGCAGCATGAACTAGACAGGAGCAGCACGAACTAGACAGGAGCAGCACGAACTAGACAGGAGCAGCACGAACTAGACAGGAGCAGCATGAACTAGACAGGAGCAGCACGAACTAGACAGGGGCAGCACGAACTAGACAGGAGCAGCACGAACTGAGCAGCAGGAACTAGACAGGAGCAGCATGAACTAGACAGGAGCAGCATGAACTAGACAGGAGTAGCACGAACTAGACAGGAGCAGCATGAACTAGACAGGAGCAGCACGAACTAGACAGGGGCAGCACGAACTAGACAGGAGCAGCACGAACTAGACAGGAGCAGCACGAACTGAGCAGCACGAACTAGACAGGAGCGGCATGAACTAGACAGGAGCAGCACGAACTAGACAGGAGCAGCATGAACTACACAGGAGCAGCACGAACTAGACAGGAGCAGCACTAACTAGACAGAGCAGCGTGAACTAGACAGGAGCAGCACAAACTAGACAGGAGCAGCATGAACTAGACAGGAGCAGCACGAACTAGACAAGAGCAACATGAACTAGACAGGAGCAGCACGAACTAGACAAGAGCAACATGAACTAGACAGGAGCAGCACGAACTAGACAGGAGCAGCACGAGCGAGACAGGAGCAGCATGAACTAGACATGAGCAGCATGAACTAGATAGGAGCAGCACAAACTAGACAGGAGCAGCAAGAACTAGACAGGAGCAGCACGAACTAGACAGGAGTAGCGTGAACTAGACAGGAGCAGCACAAACCAATCAGGAGCAGCACGAACTAGACAGGAGCAGCACAAACTAATCAGGAGCAGCACGAACTAGACAGGAGCAGCACGAACGAGACAGGAGCAGCACGAGCTAGACAGGAACAGCACGAACTAGACAGGAGCAGCACGAACGAGACAGGAGCAGCATGAACTAGACAGGAGCAGCATGAGCTAGACAGGAGCAGCATGAACTAGACAGGAGCAGTATGAGCTAGACAGGAGCAGCATGAACTAGACAGGAGCAGCATGAACTAGACAGGAGCAGTATGAGCTAGACAGGAGCAGCATGAACTAGACAGGAGCAGCATGAACTAGACAGGAGCAGCATGAACTAGACAGGAGCAGCATGAACTAGACAGGAGCAGTATGAGCTAGACAGGAGCCACCCACCTTCAGCTTCACCCTGTTCGTTCTCTCCTCATCAATCTTTTCTCGGATCTTGCTTTTCCTGTAGGTCTGGTAGGCAAACGGGTCAGCTATCGCCTTGGCCTGATTGAGATAAAAACAGGTGTTAGTAGGCGGCGATTGTCAGTAACATTGCAATACTTCTACTTTATCATCCAATCAGAATAGGCATATACTGCAATAGGTTTTCTTCTGATCTCTGTCTTGTTGTGGTACAGTCTGATGTCTACCCCACCTTGTGGTATAGTCTAATGTCTGACCCACGTTGTGGTACAGTCTGATGTCTACCCCACCTTGTGGTATAGTCTAATGTCTGACCCTCGTTGTGGTACAGTCTTATGTCTAACCCGAGGTGTGGTACAGCCTAATGTCTGACCCATGTTGTGGTACAGTCTGATGTCTACCCCACCTTGTGGTACAGTCTAATGTCTCACCTACGTTGTGGTACAATCTAATGTCTGACCCACCTTGTGGTACAGTCTAATGTCTGACTAACCTTTTGGTACAGTCTGATGTCATTAATTCACCTTGTGGTACAGTCTAATGTCTGACCCACCTTGAGGTACAGTCTCATGTCATTGACTTATCTTGTGGTACAGTCTGATGTCTGACCCACTTTGAGGTACGGTCTAATGTCTGACCCACCTTGTGGTACAGTCTGATGTCTGACTCACCTTGAGGTACAGTCTAATGTCATTGACTCACATTGTGGTACAGTCTGATGTCTGACCCACCTTGTGGCACAGTCTAATGTCTGACCCACCTTGTGGTACAGTCTGATGTCTGACTCACCTTGTGGTACAGTCTGATGTCTGACTCACCTTGAGGTACAGTCTAATGTCATTGACTCACATTGTGGTACAGTCTTATGTCTGACCCACCTTGTGGTACAGTCTAATGTCTGACCCACCTTGTGGTACAGTCTGTTGTCATTGACCTATCATGTGGTACAGTCTGATGTCTGACCCACCTTGTGGTACAGTCTGATGATGTCTGACCCACCTTGTGGTACAGTCTGATGATGTCTGACCCACCTTGTGGTACAGTCTGATGTCTGATCCACCTTGTGGTACAGTCTAATGTCTGACCCACCTTGTGGTACAGTCTGATGTCTGACTCACATTGTGGTACAGTCTGATGATGTCTGACCCACCTTGTGGTACAGTCTGATGTCTGACTCACCTTGTGGTACAGTCTGATGTCTGACTCACCTTGTGGTACAGTCTAATGTCATTGACTCACATTGTGGTACAGTCTTATGTCTGACTCACCTTGTGGTACAGTCTGATGTCATTGACCTATCATGTGGTACAGTCTGATGTCATTGACCTATCATGTGGTACAGTCTGATGTCATTGACCTATCATGTGGTACAGTCTGATGTCTGATCCACCTTGTGGTACAGTCTGATGTCTGACTCACCTTGAGGTACAGTCTAATGTCATTGACTCACATTGTGGTACAGTCTTATGTCTGACTCACCTTGTGGTACAGTCTGATGTCATTGACCTATCATGTGGTACAGTCTGATGTCTGACTCACATTGTGGTACAGTCTGATGATGTCTGACACACCTTGTGGTACAGTCTGATGTCTGACCCACCTTGTGGTACAGTCTAATGTCTGACCCACCTTGTGGTACAGTCTGATGTCATTGACCTATCATGTGGTACAGTCTGATGATGTCTGACCCACCTTGTGGTACAGTCTGATGTCTGATCCACCTTGAGGTACAGTCTGATGTCATTGACTCACATTGTGGTACAGTCTTATGTCTGACTCACCTTGTGGTACAGTCTGATGTCATTGACCTATCATGTGGTACAGTCTGATGTCTGACTCACATTGTGGTACAGTCTGATGATGTCTGATCCACCTTGTCGTACAGTCTGATGTCTGACCCACCTTGTGGTACAGTCTAATGTCTGACCCACCTTGTGGTACAGTCTGATGTCATTGACCTATCATGTGGTACAGTCTGATGATGTCTGACCCACCTTGCGGTACAGTCTGATGTCTGACCCACAGTGTGGTACAGTCTAATGTCTGACCCATGTTGTGGTACAATCTGATGTCTGGCCCACCTTGTGGTGCAGTCTAATGTCTGACCCACCTTGTGGTGCAGTCTAATGTCTGACCAACGTTGTGGTACAATCTAATGTCTGACCCACGTTGTGGTACAGTCTAATGTCTGACCCACGTTGTGGTACAATCTAATGTCTGACAAACCTTGTGGTACAGTCTTATGTCTGACCCACGTTGTGGTACAGTCTAATGTCTGACCTGAGGTGTGGTACAGTCTAATGTCTGACCTACATTGTGGTACAGTCTAATGTCTGACCTGAGGTGTGGTACAGTCTAATGTCTGACCTACATTGTGGTACAATCTAATGTCTGACAAACCTTGTGGTACAGTCTTATGTCTGACCCACATTGTGGTACAGTCTAATGTCTGACCCACCTTGTGGTGCAGTCTTATGTCTGACCCACCTTGTGGTTCAGTCTAATGCCGACCCACCTTGTGGTACAGTCTAATGTCTGACCAACCTTGTGGTACAGTCTGATGTCATTAACTCACCTTGTGGTACAGTCTAATGTCTGACCCACCTTGTGGTACAGTCTGATGTCTGACCCGAGGTGTGGTACAGTCTAATGTCTGACCCATGTTGTGGTACAGTCTGATGTCTGACACACATTGAGGTACAGTCTCATGTCATTGACTCATCTTGTGGTACAGTCTCATGTCTGACCTACCTTGTGGTACAGTCTGATGTCTGACCCGAGGTGTGGTACAGTCTAATGTCTGACTCACCTTGTGGTACAGTCTGATGTCTGACCCGCCTTGTGGTACAGTGTAATGTCTGACCCACCTTGTGGTAGAGTCTGATGTCATTGACCCACCTTGTGGTACAGTCTAATGTCTGACCCACTTTGTGGTACAGTCTAATGCCATTGACCTATCATGTGGTACAGTCTGATGTCTGACTCACCTTGTGGTACAGTCTGATGATGTCTGACCCACCTTGTGATACAGTCTGATGTCTGACCCACCTTGTGGTACAGTCTGATGATGTCTGACCCACCTTGTGGTACAGTCTGATGATATCTGACCCACCTTGTGGTACAGTCTGATGTCCATGAAGAAGCCATGCATGTATGCCCGCAGTAGATTGGATCCGACGAGATGTGCCAGGCCTAGCTCCTCCAGCTCCCCACGCATCACAAACTTGTAGTCATCATACACTGCAACACAAACTTGTAGTCATCATACACTGCAACACAAACTTGTAGTTATCATACACTTTAACACACAAACTTATAGTCATACACTGCCACACACAAACTTGAAGTCATCATACACTGCAACACACAAACTTGTAGTCATCATACACTGCAACACAAACTTGTAGTCATACACTGCAACACACACTTGTAGTCATACACTGCAACACAAACTTGTAGTCATACACTGCAACACAAACTTGTAGTCATCATACACTGTAACACACAAACTTGTAGTCATACACTGCAACACAAACTTGTAGTCATACACTGCAACACAAACTTGTAGTCATCATACACTGCAACACACAAACTTGTAGTCATACACTGCAACACAAACTTGTAGTCATACACTGCAACACAAACTTGTAGTCATCATAAACTGCAACACAAACTTGTAGTCATCAAACACTGCAACACACAAACTTGTAGTCATCATACACTGCCACACACAAACTTGTAGTCATCATACACTGCCACACACAAACTTGTAGTCATCATACACTGCAACACACAAACTTGTAGTCATCATACACTGCAACACAAACTTGTAGTCATCATACACTGCAACACACAAACTTGTAGTCATCATACACTGCAACACACACTTGTAGTCATACACTGCAACACAAACTTGTAGTCATCATACACTGCAACACAAACTTGTAGTCATACACTGCAACACACAAACTTGTAGTCATCATACACTGCAACACAAACTTGTAGTCATCATACACTGCAACACAAACTTGTAGTCATCATACACTGCAACACAAACTTGTAGTCATCATACACTGCAACACACAAACTTGTAGTCATACACTGCAACACAAACTTGTAGTCATCATACACTGCAACACAAACTTGTAGTCATACACTGCAACACAAACTTGTAGTCATCATACACTGCAACACAAACTTGAAGTCATCATACACTGCAACACAAACTTGTAGTCATACACTGCAACACAAACTTGTAGTCATCATACACTGCAACACAAACTTGAAGTCATCATACACTGCAACACAAACTTGTAGTCATACACTGCAACACAAACTTGTAGTCATCATACACTGCAACACAAACTTGTAGTCATCATACACTGCAACACAAACTTGTAGTCATCATACACTGCAACACAAACTTGTAGTCATACACTGCAACACAAACTTGAAGTCATACACTGCAACACAAACTTGTAGTCATCATACTCTGCAACACAAACTTGTAGTCATACACTGCAACACAAACTTGTAGTCATCATACACTGCAACACAAACTTGAAGTCATACACTGCAACACAAACTTGTAGTCATCATACACTGCAACACAAACTTGAAGTCATACACTGCAACACAAACTTGTAGTCATCATACACTGCAACACACACTTGTAGTCATACACTGCAACACAAACTTGTAGTCATCATACACTGCAACACAAACTTGTAGTCATCATACACTGCAACACAAACTTGTAGTCATCATACACTGCAACACAAACTTGTAGTCATCATACACTGGAACACAAACTTGTAGTCATACACTGCAACACAAACTTGTAGTCATCATACACTGCAACACAAACTTGTAGTCATCATACACTGCAACACAAACTTGTAGTCATCATACACTGCAACACAAACTTGTAGTCATCATACACTACAACACAAACTTGTCGTCATACACTGCAACACAAACTTGTAGTCATACACTGCAACACAAACTTGTAGTCATCATACACTGCAACACAAACTTGAAGTCATCATACACTGCAACACAAACTTGTAGTCATCATACACTGCAACACAAACTTGAAGTCATCATACACTGCAACACAAACTTGTAGTCATACACTGCAACACAAACTTGTAGTCATCATACACTGCAACACAAACTTGTAGTCATCATACACTGCAACACAAACTTGAAGTCATCATACACTGCAACACAAACTTGTAGTCATACACTGCAACACAAACTTGTAGTCATCATACACTGCAACACAAACTTGTAGTCATCATACACTGCAACACAAACTTGTAGTCATCATACACTGCAACACACAAACTTGTAGTCATCATACACTGCAACACACAAACTTGTAGTCATACACTGCAACACACAAACTTGAAGTCATCATACACTGCAACACAAACTTGTAGTCATCATACACTGCAACACAAACTTGTAGTCATCATACACTGCAACACAAACTTGTAGTCATACACTGCAACACAAACTTGTAGTCATACACTGCAACACAAACTTGTAGTCATCATACACTGCAACACAAACTTGTAGTCATACACTGCAACACAAACTTGTAGTCATCATACACTGCAACACAAACTTGTAGTCATCATACACTGCAACACAAACTTGTAGTCATACACTGCCACACACACACTTGTAGTCATCATACACTGCAACACAAACTTGTAGTCATCATACACTGCAACACAAACTTGTAGTCATCATACACTGCAACACACAAACTTGTAGTCATCATACACTGCAAAACAAACTTGTAGTCATACACTGCAACACAAACTTGTAGTCATCATACACTGCAACACACACTTGTAGTCATCATACACTGCAACACAAACTTGTAGTCATCATACACTGCAACACACACTTGTAGTCATACACTGCAACACAAACTTGTAGTCATCATACACTGCAACACACACACTTGTAGTCATCATACACTGCAACACAAACTTGTAGTCATACACTGCAACACAAACTTGTAGTCATACACTGCAACACACAAACTTGAAGTCATCATACACTGCAACACACACTTGTAGTCATACACTGCAACACAAACTTGTAGTCATCATACACTGCAACACAAACTTGTAGTCATCATACACTGCAACACAAACTTGTAGTCATACACTGCAACACAAACTTGTAGTCATCATACACTGCAACACAAACTTGTAGTCATACACTGCAACACACACTTGTAGTCATCATACACTGCAACACACAAACTTGTAGTCATCATACACTGCAACACAAACTTGTAGTCATACACTGCAACACACAAACTTGTAGTCATCATACACTGCAACACAAACTTGTAGTCATACACTGCAACACAAACTTGTAGTCATCATACACTGCAACACACACTTGTAGTCATACACTGCAACACAAACTTGTAGTCATCATACACTGCAACACACAAACTTGTAGTCATCATACACTGCAACACAAACTTGTAGTCATACACTGCAACACAAACTTGTAGTCATACACTGCAACACACAAACTTGAAGTCATCATACACTGCACCACAAACTTGTAGTCATACACTGCAACACAAACTTGTAGTCATACACTGCAACACAAACTTGTAGTCATCATACACTGCAACACACACTTGTAGTCATACACTGCAACACAAACTTGTAGTCATCATACACTGCAACACAAACTTGAAGTCATCATACACTGCAACACACAAACTTGTAGTCATACACTGCAACACAAACTTGTAGTCATCATACACTGCAACACACACTTGTAGTCATACACTGCAACACAAACTTGTAGTCATCATACACTGCAACACAAACTTGTAGTCATACACTGCAACACAAACTTGTAGTCATCATACACTGCAACACACACTTGTAGTCATACACTGCAACACAAACTTGAAGTCATCATACACTGCAACACACACTTGTAGTCATACACTGCAACACAAACTTGTAGGCATCATACACTGCAACACACAAACTTGTAGTCATCATACACTGCAACACAAACTTGTAGTCATCATACACTGCAACACAAACTTGTAGTCATCATACACTGCAACACAAACTTGTAGTCATACACTGCAACACAAACTTGTATTCATCATACACTGCAACACAAACTTGTAGTCATCATACACTGCAACACACAAACTTGTAGTCATCATACACTGCACCACAAACTTGTAGTCATACACTGCAACACAAACTTGTAGTCATACACTGCCACACACACACTTCATCATACACTACACTACACACAAAGTCATCAATATCCCCCACAATAGTAAATACTTGTCATGGATAAATATATAAAACTTGTTGCCATAGAAACTCGAAAGATATTTGTATAAAAAGTCCCAACTTATCAAAAGGCCCCAGTTCATCACCAGACCTACCTATGTGTCAAATCTACTGTAGATATTGCACGTTTTACAAGATCTAGCCCCATTTTCAGTCAAAGTCGTTGTAATTGAAACTAGAAAATTTAATTTATTAAAAATCCCAAACTATCAACAGGCACCACTTCACCACTAGATCTATCTATGTGCCAAATTTGGTGAAGAAATATTGTACAGTCTGCCCCGGAAACGACATCTTGCATTGATGGACAGACGCATGCATGCACGGACTGACGGTGTCCATCTTAATATCCCCCACACAACATGTGTACACAGCATGCATGCACGGACTGACGGTGTCCATCTTAATATCCCCCACACAACATGTGTACACAGCATGCATGCATGGACTGATGGTTTAATATCCCCCACACAACATGTGTACACAGCATGCATGCACGGACTGACGATGTCCATCTTAATATCCCCCACACAACATGTGTACACAGCGTGCATGCATGGACTGATGGTTTAATATCCCCCACACAACATGTGTACACAGCATGCATGCACGGACTGACGGTGTCCATCTTAATATCCCCCACACAACATGTGTACACAGCATGCATGCACGGACTGACGGTGTCCATCTTAATATCCCCCACACAACATGTGTACACAGCATGCATGCACGGACTGACGGTGTCCATCTTAATATCCCCCACACAACATGTGTACACAGCATGCATGCATGGACTGATGGTTTAATATCCCCCACACAACATGTGTACACAGCATGCATGGACGGACTGACGATGTCCATCTTAATATCCCCCACACAACATGTGTACACAGCGTGCATGCATGGACTGATGGTTTAAACTCCCCCAGACAACATGTGTACACAGCATGCATGCACGGACTGACGATGTCCATCTTAATATCCCCCAGACAACATGTGTACACAGCATGCATGCACGGACTGACGGTGTCCATCTTAATATCCCCCACACAACATGTGTACACAGCATGCATGCACGGACTGATGGTTTAATATCCCCCACACAACATGTGTACACAGCATGCATGCACGGACTGATGATGTCCATCTTAATATCCCCCAGACAACATGTGTACACAGCATGCATGGACGGACTGACGGTGTCCATCTTAATATCCCCCACACAACATGTGTACACAGCATGCATGCACGGACTGATGGTGTCCATCTTAATATCCCCCACACAACATGTGAACACAGCATGCATCCACGGACTGATGGTTTAATATCCCCCACACAACATGTGTACACAGCATGCATGCACGGACTGACGATGTCCATCTTAATATCCCCCACACAACATGTGTACACAGCATGCATGGACGGACTGACGGTGTCCATCTTAATATCCCCCACACAACATGTGTACACAGCATGCATGCACGGACTGACGGTGTAATATCCCCCACACAACCTGTGTACACAGCATGCATGCACGGACTGACGGTGTAATATCCCCCACACAACCTGTGTACACAGCATGCATGCACGGACTGACGTGTAATATCCCCGACACAACCTGTGTACACAGCATGCATGCACGGACTGACGGTGTAATAATCCCCACACAACATGTGTACACAGCGTGCATGCACGGACTGACGGTGTCCATCTTAATATCCCCCACACAACCTGTGTACACAGCGTGCATGCACGGACTGACGGTGTCCATCTTAATATCCCCCACACAACATGTGTACACAGCATGCATGCACGGACTGACGGTGTCCATCTTAATATCCCCCACGCAACCTGTGTACACAGCGTGCATGCACGGACTGACGGTGTAATATCCCCGACACAACATGTGTACACAGCATGCATGGACGGACTGACGGTGTAATATCCCCCACACAACGTGTACGCAGCATGCATGCACGGACTGACGGTGTAATATCCCCCACACAACCTGTGTACACAGCATGCATGCACGGACTGACGGTGTAATATCCCCCACACAACCTGTGTACACAGCGTGCATGCACGGACTGACGGTGTCCATCTTAATATCCCCCACACAACATGTGTACACAGCATGCATGCACGGACTGACGGTGTAATATCCCCCACACAACATGTGTACACAGCGTGCATGCACGGACTGACGGTGTTATATCCCCCACACAACCTGTGTACACAGCATGCATGCACGGACTGACGGTGTAATATCCCCCACACAACATGTGTACACAGCATGCATGCACGGACTGACGGTGTAATATCCCCCACACAACCTGTGTACACAGCGTGCATGCACGGACTGACGATGTCCATCTTAATATCCCCCACACAACCTGTGTACACAGCGTGCATGCACGGACTGACGGTGTAATATCCCCCACACAACATGTGTACACAGCATGCATGCACGGACTGACGGTGTAATATCCCCCACACAACCTGTGTACACAGCGTGCATGCACGGACTGACGATGTCCATCTTAATATCCCCCACACAACCTGTGTACACAGCGTGCATGCACGGACTGACGGTGTAATATCCCCCACACAACATGTGTACACAGCATGCATGCACGGACTGACGATGTCCATCTTAATATCCCCCACACAACCTGTGTACACAGCGTGCATGCACGGACTGACGGTGTAATATCCCCCACACAACATGTGTACACAGCATGCATGCACGGACTGACGGTGTAATATCCCCCACACAACCTGTGTACACAGCGTGCATGCACGGACTGACGATGTCCATCTTAATATCCCCCACACAACCTGTGTACACAGCGTGCATGCACGGACTGACGGTGTAATATCCCCCACACAACATGTGTACACAGCATGCATGCACGGACTGACGGTGTAATATCCCCCACACAGCCTGTGTACACAGCGTGCATGCACGGACTGACGGTGTAATATCCCCCACACAACATGTGTACACAGCATGCATGCACGGACTGACGGTGTAATATCCCCCACACAACATGTGTACACAGCATCAGGCTGAGACAGGAGACAGATGAGGGCAGTGATGGCCGCCGTGTTGACCTCACCTGACGGGGTGGAGCTCTCTTCCAACTCCTCCGTGAGGTTGTCCAGGAAGGAACACCAGCGGGGGGCAGTACCCAGACTCTGAAACATGCACCGAGACGTCAGACAGACCCGTACAGATGTCAGACACACCAGTACAGATGTCAGACACACCTGTACAGATGTCAGACACACCAGTACAGATGGCAGATGTACACAAGTGTAGAGATATAAACGACCCTTGAAGATCGGGAGTAGAATAAGTCTTCAGCAACCCATGCTTGGTGTCAAAAGTGACCATGCTTGTCGTAAGAGGCGACTAACGGGATAGGGTGGCCAGGCTCGTTGACTTGGTTGATGCATGTCATCATGCCCCAATTGCATGGATCGATGCTCATGATGACAATCACTGGACAGTCTGATCCAGACACGATTATTTACTGACTGTCATCATACAGCTGGAATATTGCTGACTGTGGCGTTAAACATCAAACAAAACACAAAAGACAAAAAAAAAATGTGTCAACTGTAAACACCTGTAGAGAAAAGTCAGCTATAAACACCTGTACGTATAGATATCAGCTATATACACCTGTACAGATATCAGCCATATACACCTGTACAGATATCAGCCACATACACCTATACAGATATCAGCCACATACACCTGTACAGATATAAGCCACATACACCTGTACAGATATCAGCTATATACACCTGTACAGATATCAGCCATATACACCTGTACAGATATCAGCCACATACACCTGTACAGATATCAGCCACATACACCTGTACAGATATCAGCCACATACACCTGTACAGATATCAGCCACATACACCTGTACAGACATCAGTGAGTGAGTTGGGTTTAACGCCGCTTTTAACAGTATTCCAGTTATATCACGGCGTGTCAGCTTAATGTGGGAGGAAAGCCCGAAGTGATGCAGGTCTCAGACGTTTACCACTTCGGTGAAACCCACGAGCACGGGTATGGTGCTGACAAACCCTCGAAACATAATTGGGGCCAACCGGGATTCGAACCCACAATCATAGGTTTCTGGCGTGCCTCAGGGATGCAATTCTGCACAGCGAATCGCAGCGCCTTAGACGACTGGGCCACCCATGCCCCCTGTACAGACATCAGCCACATACACCTGTACAGATATCAGCTATATACAGCTGTACAGATATCAGCTATATACAGCTGTACAGATATCAGCTATATACAGCTGTACAGATATCAGCCACATACACCTGTACAGATATCAGCTATATACACCTGTACAGACATCAGCTGTATACACCTGTACAGATACCAGCTATATTCAGCTGTACAGATATCAGCTATATACAGCTGTACAGATATCAGCTATATACACCTGTAAAGATATCAGCTATATACAGCTGGTCAGATATCAGCCATATACACCTGGACAGACATCAGCTATATACACCTGTACAGATATCAGCCATATACACCTGTAGATATATCAGCTATATACACCTGTACAGATATCAGCTATATACACCTGTGCAGATATCAGCCATATACACATGTACAGATATCAGCTATATACACCTGTACAGATATCAGCTTTATACACCTGTACAGATGTCAGCTATATACACCTGTACAGATATCAGCTATATACACCTGTACAGATATCAGCTATATACACCTGTACAGATATCAGCTAAATAAACCTATAATATAAAAGGTGTATCTACTTACTGGAATATAAAAGGTGTATCTACTTACTGGAATATAAAAGGTGTATCTACTTACTGGGATATAAAAGGTGTATCTACTTACTGGAATATAAAAGGTGCATCTACTTACTGGGATATAAAAGGTGTATCTACTTACTGGAATATAAAAGGTGTATCTACTTACTGGGATATAAAAGGTGTATCTACTTACTGGGATATAAAAGGTGTATCTACTTACTGGGATATAAAAGGTGTATCTACTAACTGGGGTATAAAAGGTGTATCTACTTACTAGGATATAAAAGGTGTATCTACTTACTGGGATATAAAAGGTGTATCTACTTACTGGGATATAAAAGGTGTATCTACTTACTGGGATATAAAAGGTGTATCTACTTACTGGAATATAAAAGGTTTATCTACTTACTGGGATATAAAAGGTTTATCTACTTACTGGAATATAAAAGGTGCATCTACTTACTGGGATATAAAAGGTGTATCTACTTACTGGGATATAAAAGGTGTATCTACTTACTGGGATATAATAGGTGTACAGTTTGGGAGCCTCGTTTGCCATGAACATGAGCCCTGACTCTGGAACCTGGCAGAAGTCATTCAGGTCTGTCCCGGGCTCGATGGCCGTGAATGGTTTACCCTGAAACATGAGCACACCATACAGTAACACCAAGTCCATGATGTACTGACACACATCCTCTTGATGTCAGGAGACAATCTATATATGAGAATAGCTGTGAACACACACGCCCTCACGCACGCACGCACGCACGCACGCACACAGCATCACAGCATCACCGTCTCCTTCTACACGAACCAAATCAAGGTCTAGTTTTCACCCTTGACAATTCATGCCTACTTTTCTGTGCTGAAATATGAGAGGACTATTGCACATATCAACAGACCACCCCCTGTCAAGAGTTTCATGTAAACACAGGTGCAGTGTTATATTTAGAGCACCCCCTGTCAAGTGTTTCATGTAAACACAGGTGCAGTGTCATGTTTAGACAACCCCCTGCCAAGTGTTTCATGTAAAAACAGGTGCAATGTCATGTTTAGACAATCCCCTGCCAAGTGTTTCATGTAAACACAGGTGCAATGTCATGTTTAGACAACCCCCTGCCAAGTGTTTCATGTAAACACAGGTGCAATGTCATGTTTAGACAACACCCTGCCAAGTGTTTCATGTAAACACAGGTGCAATGTCATGTTTAGACAACCCCCTGCCAAGTGTTTCATGTAAAAACAGGTGCAATGTTATGTTTAGACAACCCCCTGCCAAGTGTTTCATGTAAACACAGGTGCAATGTCATGTTTAGACCACCCCCCTGCCAAGTGTTTCATGTAAACACAGGTGCAATGTCATGTTTAGACAACCCCCTGCCAAGTGTTTCATGTAAACACAGGTGCAATGTTATGTTTAGACCACACCCTGCCAAGTGTTTCATGTAAACACAGGTGCAATGTCATGTTTAGACAACCCCCTGCCAAGTGTTTCATGTAAACACAGGTGCAATGTTATGTTTAGACCATCCCCTGCCAAGTGTTTCATGTAAACACAGGTGCAGTGTCATGTTTAGACAACCCCCTGCCAAGTGTTTCATGTAAACACAGGTGCAATGTCATGTTTAGACAAACCCCTGCCAAGTGTTTCATGTAAACACAGGTGCAATGTCATGTTTAGACAACCCCCTGCCAAGTGTTTCATGTAAACACAGGTGCAATGTCATGTTTAGACAACCCCCTGCCAAGTGTTTCATGTAAACACAGGTGCAATGTTATGTTTAGACAACCCCCTGCCAAGTGTTTCATGCAAACACAGGTGCAATGTTATGTTTAGACAACCCCCTGCCAAGTGTTTCATGTAAACACAGGTGCAATGTCATGTTTAGACCATCCCCTGCCAAGTGTTTCATGTAAAAACAGGTGCAATGTCATGTTTAGACAAACCCCTGCCAAGTGTTTCATGTAAACACAGGTGCAATGTCATGTTTAGACAATCCCCTGCCAAGTGTTTCATGTAAACACAGGTGCAATGTCATGTTTAGACAACCCCCTGCCAAGTGTTTCATGTAAACACAGGTGCAATGTCATGTTTAGACAACACCCTGCCAAGTGTTTCATGTAAACACAGGTGCAATGTCATGTTTAGACAACCCCCTGCCAAGTGTTTCATGTAAAAACAGGTGCAATGTCATGTTTAGACAACCCCCTGCCAAGTGTTTCATGTAAACACAGGTGCAGTGTTATATTTAGAGCACCCCCTGTCAAGTGTTTCATGTAAACACAGGTGCAGTGTCATGTTTAGACAACCCCCTGCCAAGTGTTTCATGTAAACACAGGTGCAATGTCATGTTTAGACAACCCCCTGCCAAGTGTTTCATGTAAACACAGGTGCAATGTCATGTTTAGACAACCCCCTGCCAAGTGTTTCATGTAAACACAGGTGCAATGTCATGTTTAGACAACACCCTGCCAAGTGTTTCATGTAAACACAGGTGCAATGTCATGTTTAGACAACCCCCTGCCAAGTGTTTCATGTAAAAACAGGTGCAATGTCATGTTTAGACAACCCCCTGCCAAGTGTTTCATGTAAAAACAGGTGCAATGTCATGTTTAGACAACCCCCTGCCAAGTGTTTCATGTAAACACAGGCACAATGTTATGTTTAGACCACACCCTGCCAAGTGTTTCATGTAAACACAGGTGCAATGTCATGTTTAGACAACACCCTGCCAAGTGTTTCATGTAAACACAGGTGCAATGTCATGTTTAGACCACCCCCTGCCAAGTGTTTCATGTAAACACAGGTGCAATGTCATGTTTAGACAATCCCCTGCCAAGTGTTTCATGTAAACACAGGTGCAATGTCATGTTTAGACAACCCCCTGCCAAGTGTTTCATGTAAAAACAGGTGCAATGTCATGTTTAGACAACCCCCTGCCAAGTGTTTCATGTAAACACAGGTGCAACGTCATGTTTAGACAACCCCCTGCCAAGTGTTTCATGTAAACACAGGTGCAATGTTATGTTTAGACAACCCCCTGCGAAGTGTTTCATGTAAAAACAGGTGCAATGTCATGTTTAGACAACCCCCTGCCAAGTGTTTCATGTAAACACAGGTGCAATGTTATGTTTAGACCACCCCCTGCCAAGTGTTTCATGTAAAAACAGGTGCAATGTCATGTTTAGACCACCCCCTGCCAAGTGTTTCATGTAAACACAGGTGCAATGTCATGTTTAGACAACCCCCTGCCAAGTGTTTCATGTAAACACAGGTGCAATGTTATGTTTAGACCACCCCCTGCCAAGTGTTTCATGTAAAAACAGGTGCAATGTCATGTTTAGACAACCCCCTGCCAAGTGTTTCATGTAAACACAGGTGCAACGTCATGTTTAGACAACCCCCTGCCAAGTGTTTCATGTAAACACAGGCACAACGTTATGTTTAGACAACCCCCTGCCAAGTGTTTCATGTAAACACAGGTGCAATGTTATGTTTAGACAACCCCCTGCCAAGTGTTTCATGTAAACACAGGTGCAATGTTATGTTTAGACCATCCCCTGCCAAGTGTTTCATGTAAAAACAGGTGCAATGTTATGTTTAGACAACCCCCTGCCAAGTGTTTCATGTAAACACAGGTGCAATGTCATGTTTAGACAACCCCCTGCCAAGTGTTTCATGTAAAAACAGGTGCAATGTCATGTTTAGACAACCCCCTGCCAAGTGTTTCATGTAAACACAGGTGCAATGTTATGTTTAGACCATCCCCTGCCAAGTGTTTCATGTAAACACAGGTGCAGTGTCATGTTTAGACAACCCCCTGCCAAGTGTTTCATGTAAACACAGGTGCAATGTCATGTTTAGACAAACCCCTGCCAAGTGTTTCATGTAAACACAGGTGCAATGTCATGTTTAGACAACCCCCTGCCAAGTGTTTCATGTAAACACAGGTGCAATGTCATGTTTAGACAACCCCCTGCCAAGTGTTTCATGTAAACACAGGTGCAATGTTATGTTTAGACAACCCCCTGCCAAGTGTTTCATGCAAACACAGGTGCAATGTTATGTTTAGACAACCCCCTGCCAAGTGTTTCATGTAAACACAGGTGCAATGTCATGTTTAGACCATCCCCTGCCAAGTGTTTCATGTAAAAACAGGTGCAATGTCATGTTTAGACAACCCCCTGCCAAGTGTTTCATGTAAACACAGGTGCAATGTCATGTTTAGACAATCCCCTGCCAAGTGTTTCATGTAAACACAGGTGCAATGTCATGTTTAGACAACCCCCTGCCAAGTGTTTCATGTAAACACAGGTGCAATGTCATGTTTAGACAACACCCTGCCAAGTGTTTCATGTAAACACAGGTGCAATGTCATGTTTAGACAACCCCCTGCCAAGTGTTTCATGTAAAAACAGGTGCAATGTCATGTTTAGACAACCCCCTGCCAAGTGTTTCATGTAAACACAGGTGCAGTGTTATATTTAGAGCACCCCCTGTCAAGTGTTTCATGTAAACACAGGTGCAGTGTCATGTTTAGACAACCCCCTGCCAAGTGTTTCATGTAAACACAGGTGCAATGTCATGTTTAGACAATCCCCTGCCAAGTGTTTCATGTAAACACAGGTGCAATGTCATGTTTAGACAACCCCCTGCCAAGTGTTTCATGTAAACACAGGTGCAATGTCATGTTTAGACAACACCCTGCCAAGTGTTTCATGTAAACACAGGTGCAATGTCATGTTTAGACAACCCCCTGCCAAGTGTTTCATGTAAAAACAGGTGCAATGTCATGTTTAGACAACCCCCTGCCAAGTGTTTCATGTAAAAACAGGTGCAATGTCATGTTTAGACAACCCCCTGCCAAGTGTTTCATGTAAACACAGGCACAATGTTATGTTTAGACCACACCCTGCCAAGTGTTTCATGTAAACACAGGTGCAATGTCATGTTTAGACAACACCCTGCCAAGTGTTTCATGTAAACACAGGTGCAATGTCATGTTTAGACCACCCCCTGCCAAGTGTTTCATGTAAACACAGGTGCAATGTCATGTTTAGACAATCCCCTGCCAAGTGTTTCATGTAAACACAGGTGCAGTGTCATGTTTAGGCAACCCCCTGCCAAGTGTTTCATGTAAACACAGGTGTAGTGTCATGTTTAGACAATCCCCTGCCAAGTGTTTCATGTAAACACAGGTGCAATGTCATGTTTAGACAACCCCCTGCCAAGTGTTTCATGTAAAAACAGGTGCAATGTCATGTTTAGACCACCCCCTGCCAAGTGTTTCATGTAAACACAGGTGCAACGTCATGTTTAGACAACCCCCTGCCAAGTGTTTCATGTAAACACAGGTGCAATGTTATGTTTAGACAACCCCCTGCCAAGTGTTTCATGTAAAAACAGGTGCAATGTCATGTTTAGACAACCCCCTGCCAAGTGTTTCATGTAAACACAGGTGCAATGTTATGTTTAGACCACCCCCTGCCAAGTGTTTCATGTAAAAACAGGTGCAATGTCATGTTTAGACCACCCCCTGCCAAGTGTTTCATGTAAACACAGGTGCAATGTCATGTTTAGACAACCCCCTGCCAAGTGTTTCATGTAAACACAGGTGCAATGTTATGTTTAGACCACCCCCTGCCAAGTGTTTCATGTAAAAACAGGTGCAATGTCATGTTTAGACAACCCCCTGCCAAGTGTTTCATGTAAACACAGGTGCAACGTCATGTTTAGACAACCCCCTGCCAAGTGTTTCATGTAAACACAGGCACAACGTTATGTTTAGACAACCCCCTGCCAAGTGTTTCATGTAAACACAGGTGCAATGTTATGTTTAGACAACCCCCTGCCAAGTGTTTCATGTAAACACAGGTGCAATGTTATGTTTAGACCATCCCCTGCCAAGTGTTTCATGTAAAAACAGGTGCAATGTTATTTTTAGACAACCCCCTGCCAAGTGTTTCATGTAAACACAGGTGCAATGTCATGTTTAGACAACCCCCTGCCAAGTGTTTCATGTAAAAACAGGTGCAATGTCATGTTTAGACAACCCCCTGCCAAGTGTTTCATGTAAACACAGGTGCAATGTTATGTTTAGACAAACCCCTGCCAAGTGTTTCTTGTAAACACAGGTGCAGTGTCATGTTTAGGCAACCCCCTGCCAAGTGTTTCATGTAAACACAGGCGCAGTGTCATGTTTAGACAACCCCCTGCCAAGTGTTTCATGTAAACACAGGTGCAACGTCATGTTTAGACAACCCCCTGCCAAGTGGTTCATGTAAACACAGGTGCAGTGTCATGTTTAGACAACCCCTGCCAAGTGTTTCATGTAAACACAGGTGCAGTGTCATGTTTAGACAACCCCCTGCCAAGTGTTTCATGTAAACCCAGGTGCAATGTCATGTTTAGACAACCCCTGCCAAGTGTTTCATGTAAACACAGGTGCAATGTCATGTTTAGACAACCCCCTGCCAAGTGTTTCATGTAAACACAGGTGCAGTGTCATGTTTAGACAACCCCCTGCCAAGTGTTTCATGTAAACACAGGTGCAGTGTCATGTTTAGACAACCCCTGCCAAGTGGTTCATGTAAACACAGGTGCAGTGTCATGTTTAGACAACCCCCTGCCAAGTGTTTCATGTAAACACAGGTGCAATGTCATGTTAAGACAACCCCCTGCAAGTGTTTCATGTAAACACAGGTGCAGTGTCATGTTTAGACAACCCCCTGTCAAGTGGTTCATGTAAACACAGGTGCAGTGTCATGTTTAGACAACCCCCTGCCAAGTGTTTCATGTAAACACAGGTGTAGTGTCATGTTTGGACAACCCCTGCCAAGTGTTTCATGTAAACACAGGTGCAGTGTCATGTTTAGACAACCCCTGCCAAGTGGTTCATGTAAACACAGGTGCAATGTCATGTTTAGACAACCCCCTGCCAAGTGTTTCATGTAAACACAGGTGCAGTGTCATGTTTAGACAACCCCCTGTCAAGTGTTTCATGTAAACACAGGTGCAATGTCATGTTTAGACAACCCCTGCCAAGTGTTTCATGTAAACACAGGTGCAGTGTCATGTTTAGACAACCCCCTGTCAAGTGTTTCATGTAAACACAGGTGCAGTGTCATGTTTAGACAACCCCTGCCAAGTGTTTCATGTAAACACAGGTGCAATGTCATGTTTAGACAACCCCTGCCAAGTGTTTCATGTAAACACAGGTGCAATGTCATGTTTAGACAACCCCTGCCAAGTGTTTCATGTAAACACAGGTGCAGGTGCAGGACAATCACTGCAAACGTAGGAAGTTTGGAATATTTATTTTCCTTGCAGATGGTCCCATAGCTTGAGTATCACCTCTACCAACTCACCATCTGGCGGTCCCATAGCTTGAGTATCACCTGTACCAACTCACCATCTGGCAGTCCCATAGCTTGAGTATCACCTGTACCAACTCACCATCTGGCGGTCCCATAGCTTGAGTATCACCTCTATCAACTCACCATCTGGCGGTCCCATAGCTTGAGTATCACCTGTACCAACTCACCATCTGGCAGTCCCATAGCTTGAGTATCACCTGTACCAACTCACCATCTGGCGGTCCCACAGCTTGAGTATCACCTCTACCAACTCACCATCTGGCGGTCAGCTTGGGTATCACCTCTACCAACTCACCATCTGGCAGTCCCATAGCTGGAGTATCACCTCTACCAACTCACCATCTGGCGGTCACACAGCTTGAGTATCACCTCTATCAACTCACCGTCTGGCAGTCCCATAGCTTGAGTATCACCTCTATCAACTCACCATCTGGCAGTCCCATAGCTGGAGTATCACCTCTACCAACTCACCATCTGGCAGTCACATAGCTTGAGTATCACCTGTACCAACTCACCATCTGGCGGTCCCATAGCTGGAGTACCACCTGTACCAACTCACCATCTGGCGGTCCCATAGCTGGAGTACCACCTCTATCAACTCACCATCTGGCGGTCCCATAGCTTGAGTATCACCTGTACCAACTCACCATCTGGCGGTCACATAGCTGGAGTATCACCTCTACCAACTCACCATCAGGCGGTCCCATAGCTTGAGTATCACCTGTACCAACTCACCATCTGGCAGTCCCATAGCTGGAGTATCACCTCTACCAACTCACCATCTGGCAGTCCCATAGCTTGAGTATCACCTCTGCCAACTCACCATCTGGCGGTCACACAGCTTGAGTATCACCTCTACCAACTCACCATCTGGCGGTCCCATAGCTGGAGTATCACCTCTATCAACTCACCATCTGGCAGTCCCATAGCTTGAGTATCACCTCTGCCAACTCACCATCTGGCAGTCCCATAGCTGGAGTATCACCTCTACCAACTCACCATCTGGCGGTCACACAGCTTGAGTATCACCTGTACCAACTCACCATCTGGCGGTCACATAGCTTGAGTATCACCTCTATGAACTCACCATCTGGCGGTCACATAGCTTGAGTACCACCTGTACCAACTCACCATCTGGCGGTCACATAGCTTGAGTACCACCTGTACCAACTCACCATCTGGCGGTCCCATAGCTTGAGTATCACCTCTACCAACTCACCATCTGGCGGTCACATAGCTTGAGTACCACCTGTACCAACTCACCATCTGGCGGTCCCATAGCTTGAGTATCACCTCTATCAACTCACCATCTGGCTGTCACATAGCTTGAGTACCACCTGTACCAACTCACCATCTGGCAGTCCCATAGCTTGAGTATCACCTCTGCCAACTCACCATCTGGCAGTCCCATAGCTGGAGTATCACCTCTACCAACTCACCATCTGGCGGTCACACAGCTTGAGTATCACCTCTATCAACTCACCGTCTGGCAGTCCCATAGCTTGAGTATCACCTCTGCCAACTCACCATCTGGCAGTCCCATAGCTGGAGTATCACCTCTACCAACTCACCATCTGGCGGTCACACAGCTTGAGTATCACCTCTATCAACTCACCGTCTGGCGGTCCCATAGCTTGAGTATCTTGGTGTCCATGGTGAGGACGAGGTCCTGGCTCTGCTGGAACTCAATGTCCTTGATGGGGAGTTCATACATGTGATCCTTCACCAACACCGGCTTGTCCCAGCGGATGTCATACATCAGGATCTGTGAACACAGCAGGGAATCATTGTCATACTTGTACTTGTCATGTAGATCACCCCAGTAGATGGTGTATACTCCCTACTTGTCACGTAGATCACCCCAGTAGATGGTGTATACTCCCTACCTGTCACGTAGATCACCCCAGTAGATGGGGTATACTCCCTACCTGTCTGGTAGATCACCCCAGTAGATGGTGTATACTCCCTACCTGTCATGTAGATCACCCCAGTAGATGGTGTATACTCCCTACCTGTCACGTAGATAACCCCGTAGATGGTGTATACTCCCTACCTGTCACGTAGATCACCCCAGTAGATGCCCAGGTAGATCACCCCTGTAAATGGTGTATACTCTGTACCTGTCACGTAGATCACCCCTGTAGATGGTGTATACTCCCTACCTGTCCGGTGCTGGTGCCGACTGCCAGGTTAAGACCGTCTCGGTGTTTCACTGCGGTCACAGATGGTACAACGCTCGTGCTGCAGAGAAACAGGCATTCAGGAGACACAAGACCCACTATTTAACAGATATTGTTACAAGACACATTCACTTTTTATCATTTCACACAACATCAACAATGATTAGGAGACAGTCATAAAGTGTTTTCAATTTACATCTATGCCACCTGAAGATTTGAATGTGATAAAATAAATTTGGAACCAAGCTTTCAGTGTGAAAATATCCATCCTACCAGGACGATATTCAACACAACCTTATGGGAATTAAGATATTGCATACAGTGGTCCTGTGTTGGGAGTAGATTGGACATTTGAATGAAGGAACACAGAGCATAATCTTACAACTAAGTAGGTTGCCATAGATACAAGCATTGATGGTTAACACCACATATATACGAGAACCTGACACGATGTAGCCCTCACCACATATATACAAGGCACTGACAGTGTGTAGCACAGCCACTTGATAGGACCTGACACAGTGCAGTCCTCACCACATATATACAAGGCACTGACAGCGTGTAGCACAGCCACTTGACAGGACCTGACACGATGCAGTCCACACCACATATATACAAGGCACTGACAGTGTGTAGCACAGTCACTTGACAGGACCTGACACAGTGCAGTCCTCACCACATATATACAAGGCACTGACAGTGTGTAGCACAGTCACTTGACAGGACCTGACACAGTGCAGTCCTCACCACATATATACAAGGCACTGACAGTGTGTAGCACAGCCACTTGACAGGACCTGACACAGTGCAGTCCTCACCACATATATACAAGGCACTGACAGTGTGTAGCACAGCCACTTGACAGGACCTGACACAGTGCAGTCCTCACCACATATATACAAGGCACTGACAGTGTGTAGCACAGCCACTTGACAGGACCTGACACGATGTAGTCCTCACCACATATATACAAGGCACTGACAGTGTGTAGCACAGCCACTTGACAGGACCTGACACAGTGCAGTCCTCACCACATATATACAAGGCACTGACAGTGTGTAGCACAGCCACTTGAAAGGACCTGACACAGTGCAGTCCTCACCACATATATACAAGGCACTGACAGCGTGTAGCACAGCCACTTGACAGGACCTGACACGATGTAGTCCACACCACATATATACAAGGCACTGACAGTGTGTAGCACAGTCACTTGACAGGACCTGACACAGTGCAGTCCTCACCACATATATACAAGGCACTGACAGTGTGTAGCACAGTCACTTGACAGGACCTGACACAGTGCAGTCCTCACCACATATATACAAGGCACTGACAGTGTGTAGCACAGCCACTTGACAGGACCTGACACAGTGCAGTCCTCACCACATATATACAAGGCACTGACAGTGTGTAGCACAGTCACTTGACAGGACCTGACACAGTGCAGTCCTCACCACATATATACAAGGCACTGACAGTGTGTAGCACAGCCACTTGACAGGACCTGACACGATGTAGTCCTCACCACATATATACAAGGCACTGACAGTGTGTAGCACAGCCACTTGACAGGACCTGACACAGTGCAGTCCTCACCACATATATACAAGGCACTGACAGTGTGTAGCACAGCCACTTGAAAGGACCTGACACAGTGCAGTCCTCACCACATATATACAAGGCACTGACAGTGTGTAGCACAGCCACTTGAAAGGACCTGACACGATGTAGTCCTCACCACATATATACAAGGCACTGACAGTGTGTAGCACAGCCACTTGACAGGACCTGACACGATGTAGTCCTCACCACATATATACAAGGCACTGACAGTGTGTAGCACAGCCACTTGACAGGATCTGACATGATGTAGTCCTCACCACATATATACAAGGCACTGACAGTGTGTAGCACAGCCACTTGAAAGGACCTGACACGATGTAGTCCTCACCACATATATACAAGGCACTGACAGTGTGTAGCACAGCCACTTGACAGGACCTGACACAGTGCAGTCCTCACCACATATATACAAGGCACTGACAGTGTGTAGCACAGCCACTTGACAGGACCTGACACGATGTAGTCCTCACCACATATATACAAGGCACTGACAGTGTGTAGCACAGCCACTTGACAGGACCTGACACGATGTAGTCCTCACCACATATATACAAGGCACTGACAGTGTGTAGCACAGTCACTTGACAGGACCTGACACAGTGCAGTCCTCACCACATATATACAAGGCACTGACAGTGTGTAGCACAGCCACTTGACAGGACCTGACACAGTGCAGTCCTCACCACATATATACAAAGCACTGACAGTGTGTAGCACAGCCACTTGAAAGGACCTGACACGATGTAGCCCTCACTACATATATACAAGGCACTGACAGTGTGTAGCACAGCCACTTGACAGGATCTGACAGGATGTAGTCCTCACCACATATATACAAGGCACTGACAGTGTGTAGCACAGCCACTTGAAAGGACCTGACACGATGTAGTCCTCACCACATATATACAAGGCACTGACAGTGTGTAGCACAGCCACTTGACAGGACCTGACATGATGTAGTCCTCACCACATATATACAAGGCACTGACAGTGTGTAGCACAGCCACTTGACAGGACCTGACACGATGTAGTCCTCACCACATATATACAAGGCACTGACAGTGTGTAGCACAGCCACTTGACAGGACCTGACACGATGTAGTCCTCACCACATATATACAAGGCACTGACAGTGTGTAGCACAGCCACTTGACAGGACCTGACACAGTGCAGTCCTCACCACATATATACAAGGCACTGACAGTGTGTAGCACAGTCACTTGACAGGACCTGACACAGTGCAGTCCTCACCACATATATACAAGGCACTGACAGTGTGTAGCACAGCCACTTGACAGGACCTGACACAGTGCAGTCCTCACCACATATATACAAGGCACTGACAGTGTGTAGCACAGCCACTTGACAGGATCTGACACGATGTAGTCCTCACCACATATATACAAGGCACTGACAGTGTGTAGCACAGCCACTTGACAGGATCTGACACGATGTAGTCCTCACCACATATATACAAGGCACTGACAGTGTGTAGCACAGTCACTTGAAAGGACCTGACACGATGTAGTCCTCACCACATATATACAAGGCACTGACAGTGTGTAGCACAGCCACTAGACAGGACCTGACACAGTGCAGTCCTCACCACATATATACAAGGCACTGACAGTGTGTAGCACAGCCACTTGAAAGGACCTGACACAGTGCAGTCCTCACCACATATATACAAGGCACTGACAGTGTGTAGCACAGCCACTTGACAGGACCTGACACAGTGCAGTCCTCACCACATATATACAAGGCACTGACAGTGTGTAGCACAGCCACTTGACAGGACCTGACACGATGTAGTCCTCACCACATATATACAAGGCACTGACAGTGTGTAGCACAGCCACTTGACAGGACCTGACACAGTGCAGTCCTCACCACATATATACAAGGCACTGACAGTGTGTAGCACAGCCACTTGAAAGGACCTGACACAGTGCAGTCCTCACCACATATATACAAGGCACTGACAGTGTGTAGCACAGCCACTTGACAGGACCTGACACGATGTAGTCCTCACCACATATATACAAGGCACTGACAGTGTGTAGCACAGCCACTTGACAGGACCTGACACGATGTAGTCCTCACCACATATATACAAGGCACTGACAGTGTGTAGCACAGTCACTTGACAGGACCTGACACAGTGCAGTCCTCACCACATATATACAAGGCACTGACAGTGTGTAGCACAGCCACTTGACAGGACCTGACACAGTGCAGTCCTCACCACATATATACAAGGCACTGACAGTGTGTAGCACAGCCACTTGAAAGGACCTGACACAATGTAGCCCTCACTACATATATACAAGGCACTGACAGTGTGTAGCACAGCCACTTGACAGGATCTGACAGGATGTAGTCCTCACCACATATATACAAGGCACTGACAGTGTGTGGCACAGCCACTTGACAGGATCTGACACAGTGCAGTCCTCACCACATATATACAAGGCACTGACAGTGTGTAGCACAGCCACTTGAAAGGACCTGACACGATGTAGCCCTCACCACATATATACAAGGCACTGACAGTGTGTAGCACAGCCACTTGACAGGACCTAACACAGTGCAGTCCTCACCACATATATACAAGGCACTGACAGTGTGTAGCACAGCCACTTGACAGGACCTGACACGATGTAGTCCTCACCACATATATACAAGGCACTGACAGTGTGTAGCACAGCCACTTGAAGGGACCTGACACGATGTAGCCCTCACCACATATATACAAGGCACTGACAGTGTGTAGCACAGCCACTTGAAAGGACCTGACACGATGTAGTCCTCACCACATATATACAAGGCACTGACAGTGTGTAGCACAGTCACTTGACAGGACCTGACACAGTGCAGTCCTCACCACATATATACAAGGCACTGACAGTGTGTAGCACAGCCACTTGACAGGACCTGACACGATGTAGTCCTCACCACATATATACAAGGCACTGACAGTGTGTAGCACAGCCACTTGACAGGACCTGACACAGTGCAGTCCTCACCACATATATACAAGGCACTGACAGTGTGTAGCACAGCCACTTGACAGGACCTGACACAGTGCAGTCCTCACCACATATATACAAGGCACTGACAGTGTGTAGCACAGCCACTTGACAGGACCTGACACGATGTAGCCCTCACCACATATATACAAGGCACTGACAGTGTGTAGCACAGCCACTTGAAAGGACCTGACACGATGTAGTCCACACCTCATATATACAAGGCACTGACAGTGTGTAGCACAGTCACTTGACAGGACCTGACACAGTGCAGTCCTCACCACATATATACAAGGCACTGACAGTGTGTAGCACAGCCACTTGACAGGATCTGACACGATGTAGTCCTCACCACATATATACAAGGCACTGACAGTGTGTAGCACAGCCACTTGACAGGATCTGACACAGTGCAGTCCTCACCACATATATACAAGGCACTGACAGTGTGTAGCACAGCCACTTGAAAGGACCTGACACGATGTAGCCCTCACCACATATATACAAGGCACTGACAGTGTGTAGCACAGCCACTTGACAGGACCTAACACAGTGCAGTCCTCACCACATATATACAAGGCACTGACAGTGTGTAGCACAGCCACTTGACAGGACCTGACACGATGTAGTCCTCACCACATATATACAAGGCACTGACAGTGTGTAGCACAGCCACTTGAAGGGACCTGACACGATGTAGCCCTCACCACATATATACAAGGCACTGACAGTGTGTAGCACAGCCACTTGAAAGGACCTGACACGATGTAGCCCTCACCACATATATACAAGGCACTGACAGTGTGTAGCACAGCCACTTGACAGAACCTGACACAGTGCAGTCCTCACCACATATATACAAGGCACTGACAGTGTGTAGCACAGCCACTTGACAGGACCTGACACGATGTAGTCCTCACCACATATATACAAGGCACTGACAGTATGTAGCACAGCCACTTGAAGGGACCTGACACGATGTAGCCCTCACCACATATATACAAGGCACTGACAGTGTGTAGCACAGCCACTTGATAGGACCTGACACAGTGCAGTCCTCACCACATATATACAAGGCACTGACAGTGTGTAGCACAGCCACTTGACAGGACCTGACACAGTGCAGTCCTCACCACATATATACAAGGCACTGACAGTGTGTAGCACAGTCACTTGACAGGACCTGACACAGTGCAGTCGTCACCACATATATACAAGGCACTGACAGTGTGTAGCACAGCCACTTGACAGGACCTGACACGATGTAGTCCTCACCACATATATACAAGGCACTGACAGTGTGTAGCACAGCCACTTGACAGGACCTGACACAGTGCAGTCCTCACCACATATATACAAGGCACTGACAGTGTGTAGCACAGCCACTTGACAGGACCTGACACAGTGCAGTCCTCACCACATATATACAAGGCACTGACAGTGTGTAGCACAGCCACTTGACAGGACCTGACACGATGTAGCCCTCACCACATATATACAAGGCACTGACAGTGTGTAGCACAGCCACTTGAAAGGACCTGACACGATGTAGTCCACACCTCATATATACAAGGCACTGACAGTGTGTAGCACAGTCACTTGACAGGACCTGACACAGTGCAGTCCTCACCACATATATACAAGGCACTGACAGTGTGTAGCACAGCCACTTGACAGTACCTGACACAATGTAGTCCTCACCACATATATACAAGGCACTGACAGTGTGTAGCACAGCCACTTGACAGGACCTGACACAGTGCAGTCCTCACCACATATATACAAGGCACTGACAGTGTGTAGCACAGCCACTTGACAGGACCTGACACAGTGCAGTCCTCACCACATATATACAAGGCACTGACAGTGTGTAGCACAGCCACTTGACAGGACCTGACACGATGTAGTCCTCACCACCATACTGAAAACTCTGAACTCCTGACTTCTACAGCATTTATATTCGCCACTCAACATAAGGGGGCATACATACAGACTCGCTATGTCATATGCAAACTTAGTTCTAGCAACTCGTGGTACCAGTAGTTGTGTATCTGAGGTATGTTGACATACGATGTAGTCCTCACCACCATACATCACCATGACGACAGACTACCTGATTCCCATCACCCAGCATGACTCAAAGGGTAGGTGCACAACCATGGCGCTACATAGCGTCCTGACTACAACATGATTATTCATAATCCTCCATGACAACCCTTCATGTAACACAGTAAGTGGCTCACTCTAAGTCTTCAATATGGCTGCTGAGTGCAGTGTCAAGGACGCCCGCCCTTGTCCTTGACCTTGGGTCCCAGCATTCAACATGGCCCTGGAGAGAAGATATTGTGCAATTTCTACACCACACTCAGAAAGACAAGTTTCATCAGGATTTATACAAACTGACACAACAAATATATGCATCAATAACGGGAATGAAATTCAAAAGTGATGCAACTTTAAAGTTCTCAAGACAAGACTAACGGGCACAACACTGAACTTGGGTCTTCAACAAGACATGCAAATGTTTAACAAACATGAACACCCCATCTCCCAGAACACATGTTGACGTCACGTAAGTCTACATAGTGTCTCCCATACCCCACCTCCCTCTGACAGTGACAATGTCCTGTACCTCCTGTACCCCGCCTCCCTCTGACAGTGACAATGTCCTGTACCCCACCTCCCTCTGAAAGTGCCAATGTCCCGTACCCCACCTCCCTCTGACAGTGACAATGTCCTGTACCTCCTGTACCCCACCTCCCTCTGACAGTGACAATGTCCTGTACCCCACCTCCCTCTGACAGTGACAATGTCCCGAACCCCACCTCCCTCTGACAGTGACAATGTCCTGTACCCCGCCTCCCTCTGAAAGTGACAATGTCCTGTACCCCACCTCCCTCTGACAGTGACAATGTCCTGTACCCCACCTCCCTCTGACAGTGACAATGTCCTGTACCCCGCCTCCCTCTGACAGTGACAATGTCCCATACCCCACCTCCCTCTGACAGTGACAATGTCCTGTACCCCGCCTCCCTCTGAAAGTGACAATGTCCTGTACCCCACCTCCCTCTGACAGTGACAATGTCTTGTACCCCACCTCCCTCTGACAGTGACAATGTCCTGTACCCCACCTCCCTCTGACAGTGACAATGTCCTGTACCCCGCCTCCCTCTGACAGTGACAATGTCCCATACCCCACCTCCCTCTGACAGTGACAATGTCCTGTACCTCCTGTACCCCGCCTCCCTCTGAAAGTGACAATGTCTTGTACCCCACCTCCCTCTGACAGTGACAATGTCCTGTACCCCACCTCCCTCTGACAGTGACAATGTCCTGTACCCCACCTCCCTCTGACAGTGACAATGTCCCGTACCCATCCTCCCTCTGACAGTGACAATGTCCTGTACCTCCTGTACCCCACCTCCCTCTGACAGTGACAATGTCCTGTACCCCACCTCCCTCTGACAGTGACAATGTCCTGTACCCCACCTCCCTCTGACAGTGACAATGTCCTGTACCCCACCTCCCTCTGACAGTGACAATGTCCCGTACCCATCCTCCCTCTGACAGTGACAATGTCCTGTACCCCACCTCCCTCTGACAGTGACAATGTCCTGTACCCCACCTCCCTCTGACAGTGACAATGTCCCGTACCCATCCTCCCTCTGACAGTGACAATGTCCCGTACCCATCCTCCCTCTGACAGTGACAATGTCCTGTACCTCCTGTACCCCGCCTCCCTCTGACTGACAATGTCCTGTACCCCACCTCCATCTGACAGTGACAATGTCCTGTAACTCCCGTACCCCACCTCCATCTGACAGTAACAATGTCCCGTAACTCCCGTACCCCACCTCCCTCTGACAGTGACAATGTCCCATAACTCCCGTACCCCACCTCCATCTGACAGTAACAATGTCCCATAACTCCCGTACCCCACCTCCATCTGACAGTAACAATGTCCCATAACTCCCGTACCCCACCTCCCTCTGACAGTAACAATGTCCCATAACTCCCGTACCCCACCTCCCTCTGACGGTGACAATATCCTGTAACTCCCGTACCCCACCTCCCTCTGACAGTGACAATGTCCCATAACTCCCGTACCCCACCTCCCTCTGACAGTGACAATGTCCCATAACTCCCGTACCCCACCTCCCTCTGACAGTGACAATGTCCCATAACTCCCGTACCCCACCTCCCTCTGACAGTAACAATATCCCATAACTCCCGTACCCCACCTCCCTCTGACAGTGACAATATCCTGTAACTCCCGTACCCCACCTCCCTCTGACCATGACAATATCCCATAACTCCCGTACCCCACCTCCCTCTGACAGTGACAATGTCCCGTACCCCACCTCCCTCTGACGGTGACAATATCCCATAACTCCCGTACCCCACCTCCCTCTGACAGTGACAATGTCCCGTAATCCACCTCCCTCTGACAGTGACAATGTCCCGTAACCCACCTACCTCTGACAGTGACAATGTCCCGTACCCCACCTCCCTCTGACAGTGACAATGTCCCGTACCCCACCTCCCTCTGACAGTGACAATGTCCTGTACCCCACCTCCCTCTGACAGTGACAATGTCCCGTAACCCACCTCCCTCTGACAGTGACAATGTCCTGTACCCCACCTCCCTCTGACAGTGACAATGTCCCGTAACCCACCTCCCTCTGACAGTGACAATGTCCTGTACCCCACCTCCCTCTGACAGTGACAATGTCCTGTACCCCACCTCCCTCTGACAGTGACAATGTCCCGTACCCCACCTCCCTCTGACAGTGACAATGTCCCGTAACCCACCTCCCTCTGACAGTGACAATGTCCCGTACCCCACCTCCCTCTGACAGTGACAATGTCCCGTACCCCATCTCCCTCTGACAATGACAATGTCCCGTACCCCACCTCCCTCTGACAGTGACAATGTCCCGTACCCCACCTCCATCTGACAGTGACAATGTCCCGTACCCTACCTCCATCTGACAGTGACAATGTCCCGTACCTCTTTGGTTCCGCAAACAAACAGCTGGTGCATAGGGTTGAATTCACAGCAGTTTATTTCTCTAAAACAAATAAATGGGTTTTTCAGATTAAAAACGATGTTTTATTGGTCTGTTTTCAGTCGTACAAATAGGTATCTTTCATACCCTCACGTCTAGTCGCACATTTAAAAGGAAGCCAAAAGCTGGAATGTAAACATTAAACTTGTTTCCGTCCGGTTGCGCACGCACCTCCCTATGACATGTCACAAATCTCGAAGAATAAGCCATCAAGCAGGACTGGACTAGATTACTTCCCTGTGGGGATGGCTGGGTGGGAACGTATGACTGAAAACAGACCAATAAAACATCCTTTTTTATCTGAAAAAGCCATGTTTTAGTCTGTTTTCAGCTGTACAAATGGGTAGAATTCGACGGAACACTGGAAGGAGGGTCGGGAAAGTAATCAGAAAGTGACCTCTTTCACGTCGAATGTACCAAGTTCCTCACCCCTGTAGTGACAATAGAACATTCGACCAGATGCACGGACGAGACAAGTTGTTTATCACGAACGCACAGCATGGTTAATGCTCTTCTACACACAACTAATTTGTAGAATTTTCCTATTCGGAATATTCTATAAGTAATATGTTACCACTGTTATACCGAGGCTGTTGTCTCCCACAACTGCTGCTATAGCGAAATCTACCACAGAGATCTCAATTACCTCATGCAGCACATGCGTAGCCACCTAGCTGCCAATTGACACCCTTCACTCTTGTCTCTTGCGAGAGCAAGTGCTCGGGGGACGGACGGGCGGGCAGCAGCCCAGTGGTAACATATTACTTATAGAATATTCCGAATAGAAACATTCTACAAATTACATTAAGTAATACGTTACCACTGTTATACCGAGGCTGACTACCACAGTAGGCGGTGGGGAGCACCTACAACCCGAACCCTGACAGCTAGCGTTCCTTCCGACCAGCGGAAGTAGACACCAAGGCAGAAGCACTCGATGCGCATGCACCTAGCTAGGCATTACCCTATAGGAATACCAAAGCACTGTCAAGCGCATACCGTAAGGCTCAATCGTCATTGCCAAAACGATTGGTGACTCCAAACGGCCCCACTGGATAGGTATTTCATCGCCGCAGCGGATGAGAACACTGTATCCGCGTGAGCTTAATCTTAGATCAGGTTAAACAGTCGAAAAGAGGGAAATTAATTTCATTCGGACCGTATATCCCAGAGCAAGCCTACCTAAAGTATGCATTAGGCATGTGACCTAATTCCAGTATTTGTAAGCATGCATCACAAGGTTGGGATACACGACATACAATTAAATACATAATTGTCAAAATACAAATAAGGACAAAGCACACAAAAAGCCGCCCTCACCTGTGGTGTGAGTGCGCTGGTTTGCGGGACCCCAACTCCTGTACCCACGGCAGTGGGAACATTGGAGTCGACCCAGATTGACCACTGTGCAAGGTCTGACGCCTGAGGAGTTCGGAATTGCGCCGGGCACACCCCTTAGGTGACCGCTTGCGCAGCGATCAGCGGCCCAAGACGGTGCACACTCTCCACGTCGTCATCAGCGACCTGTTTGAGGTAAAGATTGGCAAAAAACGAGTCAGAACGCCAGTAACAACCTCGTAATATTCTGCGAACAGGGATATTCGAGTGAAGGGCAAATGTTGCCGCTAGCGCCCTGATCTCGTGCGGGTTTGACCCCGCTACCGGTAATCCCCGAGACCGGTACGCCAGATTGACAACAGAATGAAGCCATAACGCAATCGAGTTGCGAGTTATGTCAGCAGTGCGATTAGGGTTACACGATATGAACAGACAGTCACGCCCTTGTCTGCGTTCATTCGAAGCCTTAAGAAAATACTTAAGGGCCCTAACTGGACACAGCGATCTGTCCTCAGTATCAGCAGGATGTAAGATTTCCTTGAGTGATCTTACAGTGAATTCTCTCTCCGTTTGGCCCATGTCAAAGGAGAGGAGAAATGCTGTTTACCAAGGCACATGCCAGAATGAAGCACTACTCAAGGGTTCATACGGAGCTTCTGTAAGTGATTTCAACACTAAGGAAAGATCCCAGGCCCTTCTGAAGATCTTGCTGTTTGAAACCCTTGATAATACCCCGAATCACCGGCTCTTATGAGAGACTGGTACCCATAGCAACGTCCCCTACCGTAGCAACGGAAGAGACATAGTTGGCAATGGAACCCCCGGAGAGTTTCCGGGTCTCTCGTAAGTGAGACATGAAACGAGCAATATCTTGCACAGATACCTTATCTGGCGAATGCATGTGATGTTTACAACACCACTTCGTGAAAATAACCCAACGTGCATTATACACCTTCTGGGTAAAATCACGATGCATACTAACGTATGCCCGAGACGCCCGACGAGAAAAACCTTTACTCTTCAGACGCTCGGTGACAACATCCACGCGTGCAGATTGAACTGCCCTGCATTTGGATGAAGCTGACGGGTGTGAGGGTGGATCAGGAGATCCGGTCTCACAGGCAGTGGAAGTGGCGACTGCGTGACCTGGGTCAGCAAGTCGGGGTACCACGATCTGTTCTGCCACATGGGCGCAATCAGTAACATTCGACAGCGAACTCCTCGGAGCCGGCTTAGAATGAGTGGTATCAACGCCGTCGGTGGGTAAGCATAAGCGTCCATGCCCGTCCAGTCTAACGCTATAGAGCATCGTGATTGATGGCCCTCGGGTCCGGGACTGGTGATACAAACAACGGGAGTTGATTGTTGAACCCGGTTGCGAACAGGTCGACCTACAGACGACCCAAACGTTCGCACAGCCCCTGAAAAAATACTGGGTTGAGCATCCACTCCGTGGGGCTCGGATCCCGAGGCCTCGATAGAGCGGTGGCCAGTACGTTCCGCACACCTGGGATGTGATGGACGAGTACCTGGCACGGGACACTGTCCACCAGAGCGTAAAACTCGAACGTGAGATCGAGTAGCGAGTGACTGTGGGTTCCCCCCAGTTTTGTTCAGGACAAACTACTAGGACACTACTGTCGTGTTGTCGGTCGCCAGCATGAGCCGGGCGTAGACGAGACGATGCTTCCAGTGAGTGACTGCGTTTATCACTGCCTTGAACTCAAACAATTGATGTGAAGACCTAGTTCATCTACGCACCACAGCCCCGAGCTCACCTCCCCCTCTAGATGGGCACCCCAGCCCACTAGAGAGGCGTCTGTATACAGGTTCAACGTGGCCCGGTAGGGCCGCATAGAGACTCCTGATAAGACATTGTAAGGGACCGTCCACCACTCCAGATGCGGGCGGAGTCGATCTACGAGGGCGACGGTCGCACTGTTCTCCTCCTGTGCTAACAACTGGATTGGAAACCTTTGCAGCGGGCGGAGTTGCAGACGACCCCGATCGGTGCAGTCCAGGGCGGACACAAGTAGCCCTAACAGCTGTTCCCAAAAGTGAACAGTCTGTGGTACCGCTAAGACTTTGGCAATCATCGCCTGAATCTTGTGCCACCGGTCTGGGGGGACAAAGAGGCGATGGGTCACCTGCCGATGGCATCGGCGTGGATGGGAAGATCGGTTTCCGAATCAAAACCTGCCAACGGGGCAACGGTGAGCAGCGGATTCGCTTTGAGATCTAGCCGATAGCCGTACCGAATCGTGTTGACCACCCACGGGTCGTCGAACACTTGTTCCCAATTCTCCCAGTAAGTTTGGATTCTGGCTCCCACTGGGGAAGGAGAGGGGGCCCTGACAGGCTGCGGCAGGCGCAACTGTCCAGGGCCAAGTGACTCGGGTTCGCCTAAGGGCCAACCGAAGTTGGCGCTGTCGGCATACGAACCCCTCCAATCAGAGTCACCTGGAGGGGCCCTTGCTGTCCTTAGACGACTTGGGCTTCCCCCAGTTCCCCGTCTTCCCGCGAAAGGGCAGCTGATTTCCCATACCGGAGCCCTCAGGGCGGGGCTTCTTCCCAGAGGAAGAAGAACCCGACCCCTTAGACCTACCGGCCGCAGCAGCCTGGGGCGCGCTCCGGTTAGGAGCGGCACACAGGCGCCTATGCAGGGACCCAACAAGAGCAAGTGTGTGCCGAGAGTCCTCGGCAACGTACTCAAGGGAAGCATTTAAACTAAGCAGGCAGTTGTGAATGCGCTGGTCATGGTCCGTGGGAGAACCTTCGACCAGACTGCAGCCAAGTAAGTGTCTCCGTGAGACATGGCAAGCATGGAGTGCCGAGCGAGGGCGTCCAGCTGGTGCAAGGTAGCTTGCGTTACCGTAGCAGCCAGTGGGGCACGGACACCCAACCGCTCAACATGGGCCTCCGCGGTAGGACCAGCCTCGGGAAAGGGAAGGTCATGTACCGGGATGAATCCATTCTCCACGACGTCGGAGGCAACGGGAGACCCCGACCAGAGGCTGCCGCGGAGGCGTTCTCCAAGGAAGGCTTGATACCGCGCAGAAAGGTTGATGCGGGGAAAGCTGTGTCGGAAGACTCATTGTATACCTCAGAGGAACCCACAGAGCCGTGGATTCCCCGCGGTACCGGCCGGGGCAGTGGCATGTCCTCAAAGAGGGCATATACCATAGCCACGCGGTCCTTAACCAATAGCGGGAGCAATGGTTCGGGGGAAGGACCGGTGACCACGGGAGCCGCCACCGTACCGGTGGACCCCACGTCCGAGGGCCGGGGACGGAACAGCCAGCGTCCTATCCTGAGATAAGGCCGCCAGCTTGGAGTCCACAAGTTTTGCAAGTAATGCAGCGACGGAATCCCAGGACAGCCCACGGGCCGCCAAGGGATCCGCCGCAGCCGTGGTGGTGGTACCCGCAAGGGGACCCCGACCGGACGAGCCGGCCACCACAGGGGTGGAAACGGACTGCACATACAGCCGGTAGCGCTCGCTTGCGGCACACCCCGCAGCTCCTGGTTGCGGGGGTAGAGGGGGTGGAGGACGGCGAAACATCCATGTCAGACATTTTGTTTGTACTATGAACAAAGAGCAAAACATGGTTACAACACACGCACCACAAAAACGAGTATTTTCACCAGAAAATAAATGAGCAATG